GGGCAGGATATAAACCCAGTGGGCCCCTTGCTTCAGTGAAGTTGCCATGTGTAGCATTAGATTTACTTATCATCAGACATAGGGTCTTGGAGCAATGGGAGCTGATCTGGTATCCGTGCCTAACGTTACAGTGCAAAGGCTTTTGTTTACTTGTAGTTGTAACTGGGCTGGGTTGAAGGTTGCCAGTGCAGTGTTATCCTTGGTAATGAGGTGGTTTCTGTCCTGATTGTATAGTGAGACTCTGTTTAACTGGAAAATACCTGTATGCTAACTAAACTTGAACCTAAACTTCTTTTGTTCTCAGGAAGCAAAGTGTGGTGACTACAATGCTGTCATAGTAGAAGTCTCGGGAGAAGCCTTTTATACTGGAACAGCAGTCTACACTGCGGAAGAGGAAGACCCTCTGAAATATGGATTTCTCATAAAGTGACCTTCTTAGCCCTAATGCAGTAGAAAGCATTTAAAGAAGAGATCAAAAGCATGGTCTCTTTTCTGCGGGGGAAGGAAATCTCACAATATTTACCCAACCTTATAGTCTGAATAGCTTGCTGCATCTCTGGACAGTTGAAAAATAAATTGATTTAAATATCCTAGAGTAGAGCTAGAAGACTTTAGTGGTATAATGATTGCTATTCACTATAGAAGAATATGGTCTGTAATCTCTTTACATAGCACGAACATAGATAATGCAAGTCTATTTGAAACTGCATTTATTGTGCTTTGTAGGTTTGTTTGTTCTTTGTGCATGTAGTGCTAGACTAGTAAAGAAAGCAGGGTTTAAAGGAGCTTTTTAAAAAATGTTACGTGCCTTTCCTAAAAACATAATGTACTTAGCCTCATTATCTCAGTGCAGAAATTCTATTAAATTTGTGTTTCAACCTCCTATTTCTCCTCTTGATTCAGTTTTTGTGACATGCCTTCAGTCCCCAGTAACTGGTTCCCAGTACTTGGTTTGGATGGTTTATTTTTCATTGACCTTCTCAACTCTGACCATGGCACCATTCTTTTCTGAAGCCTCAAGTTCCCAGTTCATTCTTGTTCAGATCTGTCCACAAGTTTTCCTGCTCGCATTATGTATCACCTCTCTTTTCAGTGCTTCCATTGATTTTTCTATCTCCAAGTGTATCATAGTTAAGCTCCTTGTCCTCGTCCTCACCCAGTAGACCCCGCTACTCCCTGCCCGATTACTACTCCTACTCCTATTTACCATGTCTCCACTTTCTGGCTATGGATCTATTAGACTGCTCCTGCACCTGAAGGAAGTTAATTGTTATTCTTTTCATTCCATACTTCCTTCAGCATCTTGTTCTTCCAGCAATAATCCTTCCTTCCCAATAATGTTATCAGCATCTCCAGGCATGTTCTCTGGTGTCCCCCTTTGTTTTTAGATCGGAAGACCTTGGGAGCAGGGACTTACCTCTCTGACATGAAAAAGACAAAGAAACGATCAGCAAAACCCTTGATTTTTGGCAGGACCAAGATTTGTCCCGCTATTTGTAAAATGCTGCAGGTGACTGTAGCGCTATGCAAAAGGATATGGAATCCGCCATGGCTTATTATGTGCTTCAGCAACAGGAAATGTTCTAGGGAGGAGGACTGCTATGAAGAAATGGGATCCATCTGACCTCAACTGGAAATAGCATCTTGTGCCAACCTACTAAGGAGGGCTTTAAACTAGGTTCCATTGGGGATGGTGAGCAAAACCCTCCAGCAACAGGAAACAATCCAGAGGGGAATTGACCACAAGAAGCAGCTTGCTCTAAGAGAGGGCCAGAGAGCCACAGGACAGCAACAAGCAGCGCAAAAGGGAAAGTGATAGGTCAAAATGCAGAATATATCTGATGTGTATATATACAAATGCAAGTATGAGGAATAAACGAGGTGAGCTGGAAGCTGCAGCCTGTGAAAAGAGGTATGACCTGATTGACATCACAGAGACCTGGTGGGATAGCTCTTATGACTAGAATGTCAACACTGCGGGTTTTATATCAGGGTCCTTTCTTTCAGGACAGGGTTGGGAGAAAAGGTGGTGACGTTGCCTTGTATGTGAGGAGCATACAGACTTGTTACCTGGGTTAGGAGGAAGAAGATAGAGCAGAATGCATTTGGGTGAAGATGAAAAGTGAAAGATGTGGCACCTATGTAATTATGGGGGTTTATAATAGGCCACCAAATCAGGAAGAGGAGGTGGATGAGGCAGTCTTCCAGGAGATGACCAATCTATCGAAAAGCTATGGGATGGTCATGATGGGAGACTTCAATTTTCTGGACAACTGCTGGAAGAACAATACAGCCAAATATAAAATGTTGAGCCTAGCTTGTGTGGAGGACAGCTTTCTGTCCCAGAAGGTTGAGGATACAATTAGGGGATCACCTGTCTTGGAACTTCCCCTGACCACGAGAGGAACTGGCAGAGGATGTGAAGTTGATGGGCAACTTAAGAGGAAGTGATGACATGGACAGAGATGGAGAAAGCATGAGGTCAGCAAAATTAGGGCACTAAATTTCAAAGAAGAAAATTTCACCTGATAAGGCATTAATAGGTTTGGTGCCATGGGAAGATAGGCTGAAGGATAAAGGCACAAAGGAGGGCTGGGAGCTTCTAAAGGGCAATATTGGAAACCCAACAAAAAACAGTTCTGGCATGATGGCAGCACAAAAATGACAGCCCAATGTGGCTGCACAAGGAGCTTCTAGGGTAGTGGTTTTCAACTTCTTTCATTTGCAGACCTCTAAATAATATTTTGAATGGAAGTGCACAGACCCCTTTGAGTTGTGAATGTGGAAACTCATACTTTTGTTTGATTTTAGTCCTCTTTTCTAGACCCTTTAGACATAGTCCGTGAACCCCCAGGGTCCACAGACCACAGGTTGAAAACCACTGCTTTAGGATGTCTCAAATGCAGAAGAAGCTCCACCTGGCATGGGAGAATAAAAACAAGACGAGGAGGCTCTATAAGTATGTTGGCAAGAAAAGAAAGACCAAGGAAGAAGTGGGTTCATTATTAACTAGGTGGGGGGAATCTTTCAACAGAAGATGCAAAGATGGTGGATCTATTCAACAGCTACTTTGTTTCAGTCTTCACAAAAAAATGAAGCTGCAGCCAGTTACCTAATAAGACTTATTTGGAAAAGAAAGGGGACAAGCTGAGGGAAAAGATAATAAGAGATGGTCAGGCAGCTTTTGATGGGTCCGAATGAATTCAAGTCAGCAGAGCCAGATGAGCTTCATCCCAGATTACAGAAGGAACTGACAAAGGAGATCTCAAAGCCCTTGGCAATAATATTCATGCAGTTGTAGGGGATGGCCCTTTTCCAGCCCTCTGGTACCTCACCCATCAATCAGCGCTTCTCTTAAAAAGGAGGACCCAGGGAACTACAGAATTGTTAGCCTCACTTTATAGGAAAAGCTTCTTCACTGTTAGAATAGTGAGGCAGTGGAATAGCCACCTAGGGAACATGTGGACTCCCTGTCACTGGAGATGTTCAAGAAGAGGCTGGACAGGCACTGGTTGGGGATGGTCTAGGTGTAACTAGCTATGCCTATGCTCTACTGTGGGTATTTCCAGTGCTTCTATGCTTTTCTGGTTGCTGTGTAGGCCTGGAAATGACACTGGCGCTATGGTCCCCCTGCTTTACCTCTAGCAGGTTAGGGTGTTGTCTTGTGTCAGGGTTAACTATAGTTTTGTTAAGAAGTTAGACAGTCGATTTGTATAGGATGGGTTGGATAGGGAGGTCCTGCCTCAGGCAGGGGGTGGACTAGATGAGCTGTGGAGGTCTCTTCCAGCCTTACTTCTCTCTGATTCTGTGATATCCTACTTATTACCTACGTACTAGTCCCTGTCCTCTTCTGCAAGCTGAATTTGAATTGTACACGGCAAGATCCTATTCTATCCAAGAAGCATGAACTTATTCCAATCTCCTAAGAGTCCATGAAATGCCAGTCAGTAGAAAAGATATGTGGGTCCTCCTTGCTGCTTTGTCTGACTTCAAGTTTAGAAGAGAGCATGCTGCAGAAACATTAGTGTTCATGGTTTTTCAGGGGCTTCAGCAAGGTAAAATAGGATTGTACTTGGATGCCTTAGTATTACTTTGCCTGATGGATAGAATAGGATCTGGTCCCAAGGGTGCAGAATTGCTGGGCCAGACTGGAAAAACTTGTGGCAAGTTGATTTAAAAAGTGTACTAGCAAAGATGAGTAGTGCGATCATTACTGTAGCACCTTGTTGTTTGGATGAGTCTGTTTTTCCATTGACTTCCAGGTGGGATACTGGCCATACATAGGTGCCTATAGGAATTGTCAGTGGGCTTTTTGCTTTGGCAACCAACCAAGAGAGCAAAGACAACTAGCAAAAAGGGGATGAAGGGCCATAATGCAGAAACACCTTGCCAAGAAGTTTCATTATTGATAGTTTCAGCAGAAACAAATAGTTACCACTGCTCATAACGCAGAGTTAACATCCACTGAGATAAATGGGGCAGTTCCAGCCTCTGTTCATTTCAGGATACCTCTGGGTACAAGAAGACAACTCCACAACATCTTATACTCAGTGTTATTTTCAGAACCTCAAGGACAGAAAACCTATTTCCCATCTGTCTCTTCTTGCTCTTTAAATCCACACAAGCCTTAGAAGATGGCTTTATCTTTTTAGTCTCTAGAAAGTTTTAAACCCCTCTTAAATCTGCTGACATTTTAGTAAATGTTGGATAGTTTTAATTTAAGCCTCTTGGAGGATGTATACTTTTAATTACTCTGAGATGGTGTATTCTTGTCATATGGTAGATATAAACAAAGTGAAGAATTACTAAAACCTTGAGGCCTGCTCTGCCAGAGAGAGAGAGAACACAAAATGTAAGTCTAAATCAATATGGTTATATTAACCACAACCGCTTCCAGCGATCCATATAAAGGCTTTTGTTGTTGTTCTTAAGTTACTTGAGAAAAGTGTTGGTATAGATTTAATCCTATGCCGGAGCCTTGTGCAAGGCTTACACTAGTACAACTTGACTCTGTAGTAACAACTTAAAACTACCCTGGAGTGGAGGGGGCTAAAAGGCTTATTGAGTAAGCAGGTTCCTGGACTAAGAGTTGACAGGGAATCTCTCTGATTCTGTGATATCCCAGGATCAGTTGTGCCTACATAGCTCCCTGCTTAGCATGATGCCTGTTCGGGGTCACGATTCTGAGACCCCTGACTTGCCCTGATTGCACATGGGTTTGGGGGTGTGGGGACAGGATACTGGCACCTAAACATTTAAGTGTGTGGATGTTGGAGTCAGAGGGTACTTTTGATGAGAATAATTTACTACCGTATTTTCTCACCTACAACATCCACCTTTCCCCCCAGAATAAGCCTCCCACCCAAAAAATTGGGGTGCATGTATAAAGCAGGGAAGCTGACTTTCTGCCCAGGATAGAAGCACCCTGCTTTGATTCCTGCTCCACCATGCATCAGCTGTGACAGTAGTATTCAGGCAGCTGAAGGAGTCAACTGACTTAATGGTTCATGTTCTTCCAACTCCAGAGATGTTAACGAACATCTCTTCTTTTTAATAGTTTGGATGTATCACTAATCAAGCTAAACTTTCTTTGAGCAGCTTTGCCGTCTGCCAGCTGCTCCTGGCCCCTCTTTGTATTTCACAGACCTGGAGACTCTTCCATCTTTAAAAAAAAAATCAGAGATGCACCCATGGACACCTATCTTCAGCAGCAGCAAGGGTTTAAGCTTCAGTTAATGAGGAAAGGGAGAGCGAGTTAGCTGAAGATTGGGCTCTGTCCCTGGTCCATGCAACCATAATGCTGGAAAATGCTTTTCTTTCATTCTGCCTTTCAAAAACAAGGCATGTATTATACTCCAGGGCGTGTTGTCTGTTAGAAAATAGTG